CCTGGCGTTTTACTTTTGAGAGATCACTAACCTATTTCTGTCAATCCTTGAAATCCCTGAAGAGCATTGTTCTACTCTGATCTGCATGGAGTCACAATGAGTTAGAATTGATTTGATGGCAACTATTTTTTGCCCTTTTACTTATTTTTAACTGCAAATGCATGTGATGGGCATATCAGGTTTGCCCTTGGTACATTCTGTTACAGGGGGGCCACTGTAGGCCATGTGGGGTAGTCATTTACACACACCCAACACACACAGATTTAAGTCCAGTCTCAGAACAGATTCCCTCTGTTAGAAATGGTGGTCATTTCTTGATTAAGCTCTGACCCTCAGCGTGCCACATTGTTGTGACTGGTTCATTATCTTGGTGAATTTTTACAAGCTGAGGGTTAAGCAAATGTGAGGGGTCAGAATCATGCAAGTTGAAAATTCAGGTAGAAAATCAGACTCCTAAATAGCAGCAGAATATTTTCCTTCGTAGGAAAATGCAAAAAAAGAAGAATGATCTGTAATCAAGCATAAAATAATCTGTACTCTTTCTTCCTGGCTTCCGTCAACAACAGGCAGTTTTAATGAGAAAGAGTGGTGTATCGAGTAAAGCTTGGTGTGGGTAGGCATTTTGCCGCTGTGTGCTGTGGGTCTCTAGGGTGTTGGCACATGAGTAACTCCCGAGAGAACTTCTGCTTCCTGACAGATCCTGCAGGACACCGGGGTGTTTGAGTACACCTGGAATGAGCTGGAGCTGTGGCTGGAGCACCTGGACAGCACCGCGGAGGAGAAAAAGGAAACCGTGATTCAGTTTTTGGAAAGTGTAAGTGTGTGTTTCTGGTCTTTTCGGGGAGCAGGAACCTGATCATCAGAGAACCATGGTAGTAAGTTAGCCACTACATCATTAAGGCAGTTTTGGTGCATCCGCACTGGAAGACTTCTCTTCCCACCTGAGTTCCTTATTCTTTTTTTTTTCTTAAATGTTTTATTGTGAATTATGTGATAGTTTACATGGGAGAACATTAGTTTTACATTCATTCTATCGTATATCATCTCATTGCCATGGTTACAATCCCCTCCATGCAATTCTTCCCCTGTGCCCCC